GCAATTCTCCTGCCTCAGCCTCCTGAGTAGCTGGGATTACAGGCACACACCACCATGCCCAGCTAATTTTTTTGTATTTTTAGTAGAGATGGGGTTTCACTGTGCTGACCAGGATGGTCTCGATCTCTTGACCTCGTGATCCACCCGCCTCGGCCTCCCAAAGTGCTGGGATTACAGGCTTGAGCCACCGCGCCCAGCCTAATTTTGTATTTTTAGTAGAGATGGGGTTTCTCCATGTTTGTCAGGCTGGTCTTGAACTCCCGATCTCAGGTGATCCGCCTACCTCGGCCTCCCAAAGTGCTAAGATAACAGGCATGAGCCACTGTGCCCGCCCTCCACCTCCTTCTTGTAAAAGCCCTTACTACTTCAAGGGTCATACCATTTAGCTGTCTGAGCCTTTGCCCCTCCTCATGCTGTCACCTAGAGATTCCAGAACAACCTGCTCTACCTATCGAAGACTTTGGTACCTAGCTCATGGGCATCCTCTTCCCTTCCCTCCCCTCAAGTCTTGCCATCATCCAGGTGGAGTTCAGTGGCCATGTCAGCATCGCGACTGTCTCCTGTACTGCACTTTGGCCACTGACTTCCACAGCCACACCCTGGACCTTGTCGTTACTGGAAACTACTCAAGCTTCATTCTTCCACTTTCTGATCACAACCCTTTCATTCAATGATCTCAGATACGGATTCTCTGACTTCATTGGGACCTCTAGTCCATACATTTTACCCACTCTCCTATCTAGTTTAGATACCAAGGCCCTTCATTTCAACCACTGTTTTGCCACAATCTTCAACTTGCTTGTCCTTTGTCCTTCCATTGTATCTGCCTGGTAAAACCCAACCTGATCTATTAAACTGACCTCTCTGTAACCACCACTAGGTGGCTGAATGTTGTTGAGGGAAAAATGCATATTATACAACCTTGCGGACTGCAGCTGTTGAAAATTAATGGTCGCCAACCTCAACAGGGCCATCATAACTGCCTAGAAATCCATTTGCTACCTTAGTCATCTCACTGCCACTCTCCAGTGCTGCTATTTCAATCTTTCTCTGCTCTTTTCAATCTCGCACACCATCTCCAATCCCACTCTCACTGGCTGATATCATGTTCTTATTTGACAGAGAAAATAGAAACCATCAAAGAAGAATTCCCTCAACTTCCCATCACCAAACCTAACAGTTAACCTCAACATAATGCTTCCCTTCTGCCACTAAACAAATGGTCCCCCACCCTTCTAAGTGAATTTCTCCACCATTACTTTGGATCCCCTACCTTATTCTTTTTTTCAGGGGCACCATTCTCAGTTAGCTTCCTTCCCCTATAATTTTATCTTTTTTCCCTTTGCTGGATTCACAGCAACATTTCTCCCATCCAAATAAAAACCTTTGTCTCCTTCTGCCTATCTCCTTTTTTCTTCTAAAGAGCCAAGCTTTCCGAAAATGTACCTTACATGAATCTTCACTTCCTCAATCCCATCCACTTCTCAAGCCACTGTAATTTGACCTCTGCTTCCATCACCCCACTGAAACTGCACTTGCAAAGGTCACCAACAACTTCCTTGTTTCTAAATCCAGTGGATTCTTTCAGGTCTCATTTCACTTGATTAGTCATCAGCCTTCAACACTTTCTTCCCTTGGCTTCTGAAATACCACATTCTGCTACTGATCTTCTTACCATTTTGGACACTTCATCTTGATTACCTTTGCAGGTTCATCCTCCTTTGCCAGACTCTTGAACTTGGGTGCTTCTCAGGGCTCTGTCTCAGGTCAGGTCTCTTCTGAGTCTACACTTACTCCCTGGGCAAGCTCAAGAAATCTATTGGTGTGGCTGGCATCTATAAGGCCTTACAGACTCCCACATTGCAACTTCCAGTTAGACTTACCTGATGAACTCCAGTTAGGCATATTCAAAAGCCTCCTGGATACCTCCACTTGGATGTTCCACTGGCACCTCAAGCTTACCATGCCCAGAATTAACCCTCTCCTAAAAACCCTGCTTCGTCTTCTTCCTGTTTGCCCAAACCAGGAATCTAGAAGTCATCCTTCATTTCCCTTACTTCTCCCACACCCAATCAGTCACCAAGTCCAGTTCTTTTTAGCTAAAAGTATTTAAGGAATTCATCCTGCCCCTTCCATTTTAGCTGCCACTCAAGGCTTTATGCCACCATAATCCTTCCCCACTACTGAAACGACTTCCTAATTGATCTCCCTTCTCCCACCAATCCCCAATCCAGTCCCTGCACTGATCTAAAACACAAATATGATTGTTACTCCCCTGGTTAAAGCCCTGCAATGACTCCCTGCTGTTTTCATGATAAAGTCTAAGCTCTTGTGCGCGTAGGTGTAAAATGCATTGGAAAATTTTTACCATCAGCAAGATCCACCTGTAAGCGCAAAGCCAAGCTTTGCATCAAAGACTCTCTGGGATCTGGGCCTATTTTTCCAAGGTTTCCCTCACATGAGTCTCTAGCCTGGTTACAGGATGCTTCATGTAATTTCTGGCACATTCACATCTTTGAGCTCTTGAAGGGAGTCTTTTTGTTTGTTTGTTTGTTTTGTTTTTTGAGACAGGGTCTCACTCTGTCACCCAGGCTGGAGTGCAGTGGCACAATCATGGCTCACTGCAGCTTTGACCTCCCTGACTCAAGTGATCCTTCCACCTCAGCTTTCCAAATAGCTGGGACTTAAGGCATGTGCCACCAGGCCTGGCTAATTTTTAAAATTTTTATTTTGGAGAGATGAAGGTCTCATTATGTTGCCCAGGCTGGTCTTGAACTCCTTCCAGCCATCCTCCTGTCTTGGCCTCCCAAAGTGCTGGGATTGCGAGTTTGAGCCACCACGTCTGGCATGCAAGGAGTCTTTCCCCCTCCCTATCTCTAAAAGTCTTTCAAGGCCCAGCTCAAGCGCCATTCCCACTGCCATAAATGCCCCTTCTCTGATTCTGAGCATCTCAAATCCTTACTCTTCTGTAGTATTTACCCCACACGCAGAATTAGAGTTGCTTCATGCATGGTTTCTCTCCCTCTCCCCGTTAAGACATGGGCGGGGGGGGGGTGTCAAAAGCTTGAGCCTCATTAGGGCCTAAGCAACCTCATTTAGCCCACCCAGTCTCTGGGACATAATATGTAACTATGGGTTAGATGCGTAGATAAATGCAAGAAAGTTGCATTCCCAGCTCCTTGGTGGACCCTATCAACAGGGCATTCTCTAAAGTCATCAACTGAAGACTGCCTCCCACCCACCCACCCATTCATCCATCCATCCAGACTATGCCTCGACCCCACTGGGTGGAGGTTGGGTCGGCACGCGCCCCCTAGACCGTTTTGTACGGTTTTCTACCTCCAGCCCTCGGAGCTGCGGCTGGTAGAGGATGACAGAGGTACCTAGACGATGCAAGTCAAAGGTCACACGCTTCCGGCGCGTAGGATAGGACGACTCTGGACGAGTGACCCTACCCATTCCCAGAATACAGCAACTCTCCAGCCGCCTCTCACCTACCTGAGAGGGCACGGACTCTTCCTGACCGGCGTCCCGGCTGACCAATACCTGATCCAGATCAAGCGAGTTAGCCAATGGCTGCGGGCCAGTAATGGGGGCGGGGCATGGTTGCTAGGACGAGCTAGTAGGGCGAGGCTAGAGGCACTGGAAGAGACTCGGTGGTTGCTAAGGCGGGAGGTCACAGAGCGCGGCGCAGGGATTGGGCCGTGTTCGGGGAGGTGTGTGGTGATTGGGCGGAGCCCAGGAGACGCCCGGGTGAGGCACGGGTGCGCAAGCGGGAGTTCCGGCTGGAGGCAAGTGCTCAGGGCTGGCACCTTCACCATGGCCTCGGCAGAGCTGGACTACACCATCGAGATCCCGGATCAGCCCTGCTGGAGCCAGAGTATGGAATGAGGGTTGGGTCCAGGCGCGGGGAGGTGACCTCATGAGCCCGTCGGTTGCTAGCGCAGCTGTAGCCCCGCCCCTCTTGCGGCCCCGCCCTCCCGCGGCCGCCCCCTCATAGGGCCCCGCAGGTCCTAGACTTGGAGCTCAGGGAACCCCGCCCCTCGTAAGCCCCGCCTCAGAGTGTTCCTCCCCGGCGAGCCCCGCCTCTGCCCCGAGTCAGCTGCTCGCTTGGGACCCCCTTTTCTGTCTTTCCTGTCCAGGGTTCTCAGGTCCATGCCCTTTAATCTCTTCTCATGGCTGAAGGCTGCTGAAAGCTGGACCCTTCCTGATTCCTTTGTTTGGGATTGGGCTTTCCACATCTAGCGTTTTTTCGGCGGTTGTGGCTGAAGGTATCATTTATTATTTTCTCGAAGGAGTGGAGGGGGAGCCCTGCGGGGTCACTGGTCCTCGCAGAAGCCCGGGACTGAGAACCCTTAGCCGTCCCTCTCCACTCTTCTCGGCAGTCGGGTAGAACTCGACTGAAATCCTGACTCCTCCTTTTAGGAGCTGGATGACCTTTGGTAAGCTGCCTTCTGTGAACTTCAGTTTCCTCCTCTGCAAAACGTGTTATAAGGATAGTAACATTTCTCATAGGACTGTTGGGGTCGTCTGGAGATTATTTGTGTAAGGGGCCTGGCATGGAGTGAGTTCAGCAATTGGCACTTAGGATCGGCATTGTTTCTCTCCTTACATTAAAGAAAGACATGTAGGAGGCTCCACAAAATCAGTAGGCTTGACAGCAGGCTCGAGTCCATGACAATGTGAGTAGATCGGGGTCCAGAGAGTGGAAAGTTTGGTCTCTTTCTATGGTCAGCCTGAGGCCAGCATGTCCCTCAGGCCTCCTGTCTCACTGCCTGCAGCACAGCCTCTTCAATTGCTACCACAATTATCTTCCTAATGCAAAAGTCTGATCTTATCTCTGCTCTGGGTAAAACTTACCTTCTTCAGGAGAGTTCCCAGACCCCTTCCCGTAGTATCTCATGTTCTTTGGTTGGAGTCTAGAGTCTAGGAGAGGGCAGCCCTTAGGCTCCCACAGAACAGTTGGCTCCAGACCAGCTGTTTCTCCCTAGAGCTGGAACTGTTGGCTTAGCGCTTTTGGGTTTATAGATGTAAAAATACTTTGGACACGTTTTGGCGTCAGCAAGCCATGAAGTCAGTTGATATTATTTCCTTTGGAGAGCCTTCGGCTGCAAAGGGCTGGAGCTGCCTTCAGCATGGCCAGGAGGGCAACCTGGTGATCTTGGTTCACATTTCAGCTCCAAGTCTTACTAGTTATATGTCTTTGGCCAGTTATTGAACTTCCCTGAGCCTCAGATTCTTCTGCTGTGAAATGGGAACAGTAATAGTGTGTACCTCCTCATGGGATTGTGAGGGTTAACGAGGTAGCGTTTGGATGTGTGTCTCTGGCATAGTGCAGGTGCTGTTGCATTGCTTCCCCTATGCTTCCCCCTCTGCCCCCCTTTCTTTTCTTTTTTTTTTTTTTGAGAGATGGAGTCTCCCTCTGTCCCCAGGCTGAAGTGCAGCGGCGAAATCCTGTGGCTTCCCTTGCTGCTCCAGGAGGCTGTGTCTTAGAAGTGGAAGAAATCTCAGGGGCTGGTTTGTCCTGCAGCCCTCTGCTGGCATGGGTACATTCCATTCCTAGCAGGCCCCTGCCTGACAGGATGCTTCTGCCCAAACATCCTGGCCTGTTGGAGGCAACTGGGATTGTTAGAAAGCACTTCCCTTTCTTGAGCCACAATAGGCCTTCCTGTCATTTCCGCTCTCAGTTCAGCATTTGCTGTGTCCTGACTGTGGGTTAAGAAGTGACTCACACGGAACTGAGGTTTTGGAGACGGGGTGAGTTCATAAGCAGGTGGTTTCAAAGTGATGTGCTAACTGTGGGGCTGGAGCATTGTGGTGGGAACGACACAGAGCAAGTCATCTCTCTTCCTCCCTTCAAGAGGACAGCTTCGTGCCTTCACATCTCCTCCAAGGGAAACACCTCCAAGGGGCTTCAGTTGTTTCTTCTCCTCCTTATTCCTCCTCCTGACTGGCTTTAGTTCATCGCCCTTTCCTCTCACAGTGCATGCTCCAGAGGTGAGCTAGAGGTTGTCAAGCCCCTCAGAAGGAGATCACCACACTGTGGTCCCCGGAATCCATTTGCTGCCCATCTGCAGAGCTTCCCTCCAGACCAACATTGCTTCACAGAATGACAGCCTTTTGGGGCCCCAGAGGTTGTCTGTCTTTTGTAATTCCTGTTTAGTGGTGGAGAAGTATGTAGGACAGTCATATTTAGTTTCTGAAATTACGTTTTTTTTTAGTAATTTTTTTTTCTTTTTTTTTTTTTTTTTTTAGAGATGGGGTTTCACCATGTTAGCCAGGCTGATCTTGAACTCCCAACCGCAGGTGATCCACCTGCCTCGGCCTCCCAAAGTGCTGGGATTACAGGCGTGAGCCACTGCGCCCGGCCCTGAAATTACTTTTTTAAAACATTTTTTTTTTTGAGACAGAGTCTCGCTCTGTCACCTAGGCTGGAGTGTAGTGGTATGATCTCAACCCATTGCAACCTCTACCTCCTGGGTTGAAGTGATTCTCCCACCTCAGCCTCCCGAATAGCTGGTACTACAGGCACATGCCACCCCACCTGGCTAATTTTTGTATTTGCAGTAGAGACAGGGTTTCACCATATTGGTTAGGCTGGTCTCGAACTCCTGACCTCAGGTGATCCATCCGCCTTGGCCTCCCAAAGTGCTGGGATTACAGGTGTGAGCTACTGTGCCCAGTGTTTAAAAACTTTTTTTTTTTTTAGTTTTTAATTTTCTTATATGGAGACAGTCTTACTATGTTGCCCAGACTGGTTTCAGACTCCTGGGCTCAAGCAGTCCTCCTGTCACAGCCTCCCAAAGTGCCTCATTAGAGGTATGAACCACTGTGCCTGGCCTGAAATTACTTTTCCCCTGTATTTGAAAATTGAAACCACAGAAGCCATCACTGCTGTGAGCTGACAGAGAAGCTGATGCTGGCACAGTAGCTAGCTGGAAGGCAGCTGCAGATCTGGGGTCATTCAGAGCCCTGGGCCTTGTAGGTCAGGCTTGGCAGCCCAAAATCCTCCTGCTGGGAATCCCAGCAGCCAGTACCTATGGCTGCCTACACCAATGGTCATCTGCCTAGGCCTTTGCTAAAGCTGGTCCTTTGACCCAGAATCTGGCCTCCCTCTCTTTTTTCCAGGCCAGTGATCCCCTTACTTCATTTCATTTGGGAAGGGTCTCTCCTGGGGCTCCCATAGCACTATACTATCCTGTTGTAGTGTTTTTGATGGCTTCACTCCCTGTCACTGGGGCCTGGGAGGGATGAGGTGCCAAGTGAGCTGAATGGAATCACTTGGCAGCACTGTATACCCAAGTCAGAGCTGCTCTGGCATCCCAGGCCCAGGCTGTGCCACCCCTCCTCCCATCCAGAGAATGGTCAGCCAAGTCCCACCCAGGTCCCCTCTATGACTTGCTCATAGGCCAGCAGCCTTCTTAAAGGTACCATGTGGCTCTTAGGTTCAGTAAACATAAAAAATAATTCATTCACAGAGTTAATGGGGCTGGGTCCTGGGCCTGGGACAAACATTTTGCTCTTAGAGTGAACAGAAGGTCTTCAGGGGATCACAGAGAGGGGAAGTGAGGGTTTTTTGTTCCACAGGCTTTATTGTGGGCCTGATTTTTTGCTCAGCACTGGCTGAGATCTAGGAAGTACAGACATCATCTTAACCCTCGGGAAGTTGTCACTGGTACATGAGAAACAGTGCTGAAGGGTCTGGACCACCATGGTGGGCCCTGTGGTTGGGGAGGCTTCCTGGAGAAGAGCAGCCCAAGCTGGACCTGAAGCTGCAGGAGGGCTGACAGACTCCCCTGGTGAGCAGCAGAAAGTCCAGAAGTCAAGTCCACAGCCATACTACCTTGGACATGCTGATTTCAGAAGCTAAGCCATGTCAGGCCTGCTTAGAACTTGGATGGGAGAAAGTACAGAAGTAAGAGCGCTGAGGGGGACTGCAAGGGGCTGGAGGGAACAGGGGCCTGGCAGGAAGCTGTGTGCAGTGCTTTCACGGGTGGAGAGCGGGATGAAAACCTGAAGAGCTGTCATGACGGACAGACCTCAAAGACCCAGGTGAAGATCATTTGGGATTTGATCCTTGTCTTGTCTGCTTGTCTTCAAGGACCCAAAAGGTCTTCTTTTTTTTTTTTTCCCTGTACAGAGCAGTTTATTTTTGGAACCATGATCTCTTTTCTCTCACCTCTCGATAGGAACCCTTTCTAAGTGTCTGCTCTATGCCAGGTGCTGTACTAGACCCTGGATTTGAGATCCAGGCCTCCTCGCAGGCCTTGTTTTCTCTGAGTGTCTGTGGTACTTACACTGTTAACCATCTTCTATTCACATGCCAGGCCCACCAGGAGCTCCTTTCATTATTTTATTAATCCTCACAACCACCCTGTGAAGTAGAGAGCACCCTTAATCCTGTTTTTCAGATGAAGAACAGACGCTTGTGGGGAGGTAAAGTATCTCGCCCAAAGTAATTCCAGATTTCAGCTTAAGAGCCTTACTCCAAAGCTTGTACGTGCCGAGATTTCAGTTGCTATTAGGAAGGGCTGCCTGAATACGATGCCATTTCTAGGAAACAATTAAGGACATGCACAAAGAATGGGGTGTCCATTAAAGTATTTTTATAACAGCAAAAAATTAGAAACAGGATCATATCCAATAATGGGATATTTGATCACCATAAATTATGAAACATCCTATAGCCTCTCTGAAGCCACTAAAAATAATGGTGTAGAAATATATAAACTGACAGGGAAAAATGTTCGCAATATATTGCCAGACGGAAGAAAGCAGATTACAAACAGTATGATTCCAATTTTATTAGATATTCATTTTCTACTTTTTCTACAGTGAGCATGTATTACTTGTGAAGTAATAATAATTTCAATTTATTGA